AGACGGACAGGTTGGGGTAAAGAGTTCCAGAGGATGGGGAGACTCTAGAGAAGTCCTGGAGGTGAGCATGGGAAGAGTTGACAAGGGAGCTGGAAAGCAGGAGGTCTTGGAATGAGCGGAGCCGACGGTTAGGGTGATACTTTGAGACCAGGTTTAAGATATAGCCGGGGGCGGAATTGTGGATGGCTTTGTAAGCGATTGTTAATATTTGGAATTTTATCCTTTGGGCGAGTGGAAGCCAGTGCAGGGATTGACAGAGTGGGGTTGCAGACACTGAGCGGTTGGTTTGGTGAATGAGTCTGGCAGCTGCATTCATGATAGACTGAAGGGGGGATATCCTGTGTAGTGGAAGGCCAATGAGGAGGGAGTTGCAATAGTCAAGACGAGAGATAACAAGGGAGCGGATGAGTAATTTTGCGGTTTCATTGGTGAGGAAGGGGCGTATTCTGGAGATGTTATGAAGGTGAAGGCGGCAGGATTTGGATAGTGATTGGATGTGGGGAAGAAAGGTGAGGTCCGAGTCAAGAATGACACCTAGGACCTTGGCATGGGAGGAAAAGTGGATAGTTGTGTTTATTATTATTGCATAGTATTTATATAGCGCCAACAGTTTGTGCAGCGCTTTACAATGTAAGGAAGACATAACAATTACAATACAATTCAAGACAAGATGGTAAGGAGGGCCTTGCCTTAATGTATTGTACAGTGCAATTTAACACCCCCCTCATTTTTAAAAAAAACATTTTTGACACCCCACATCAGTGCATTGGCAGTCAGTGGCAGTGAAATTAATTTATTTACCTGACCACACAATCCTGCACCACTTTTTCTCTGTTCACCCCAATGAGGCTGGGGCTTGTGTTGGTTGCTGAAACACCCAGCCCTCTGCTGCCGCTTTGCTCTCCTGGCTAAGCAGCTGTTATCTTGCAGGACCACAATGCAATTAGTTGCTCCTTTTCACTATCATCTTTACAAACATTAGCAACTGAGGATTTTCCTCCTTCAAAATCAGAACACTGAAGAGCCTGAGACTGTCCAGCTTTAAGCTGGGTATATACAGAATTTCTTTTGAAAAAATTAGAGCTGCACTGTAATACAAATTTCAAAACCGAAATAAAAAAAAATGTCATGCCGAAAACAAAAAATGTTTTTTTACTTTTTCAAATATTTTTTAATAAACGGTTTAAATTTCTTTATGTTTATTCATTTTTTTTTATTAAATATTTTTATTTTTTACTTTACTTTTAGGTGCTTTGGGAAAATATTAAGTGTCTAAACATACCCACGATATTTCCCTTTTAAAATAGAATAAGAGATTAAAGACACAGAGTCCTCAATCTCTTTTTCTGCATCCCCTGTTATAAATGAACAGGAATCATCTATACCGAGTGCTCCTGTTCATTCATAACATGAGAACATAGTATGGTTACTATAACCAAAAGTATGAATGAACAGGAGGTGATGTAGATAATTGAGGATATAGTTAACATACTATGTCCTCAATTATTTACACACTAAGCAATCAGTGTTTGTACCGCTCTCCATCCTGACAGCTGTCACAGGAGTCTGAGTAGCGGAGCTCAGCCTGCTGTGACAGCGCACGCTGTCTCCGCCCACGCTGCTCTCCCAATCTGTGACAGGAGGCTGAGCGGTGTGGAAGGAGATGCCGGGCGCTCACAGCGCTCTCCTCCAGCAGCGCTCATCAGCCTGTCACAGTTTTCTCTCCTCCCCGCTGGGACACAGAGCATCGTCCAGCGGGGAGGAGAGAAAGAATGGATGCACCGCTGTATCGGCCAGAAAAATGGCACTTTTTTTTAATGACTCACCATCTGGCTTCCTGATAAGCCGGGCCCACAGTACCTCGGGATGCCGGTATCAGTATTCGATATCGGCAAGTACTGGGGAAAAAAGATAAATATCGGTATTCGAAACCGAAAAAACGGTATAGGTGCATCCCTCAAACAAATATGTGCATAAGGCTACAGGGAGAAGAACCCCATGATTCAGATAAGCGTGTCTGGGGCGGGGAGGGGTTATGATCCGACCATGTTTCACCCTAAAAATTAGACTGTAAACTTAGCCTTTAAAAACATTTTAAACAAACCTCACTAGTAATTTCAGAGAGATTCTGTGAAAAAAGCTGGAAAGCCATGTACCCCAAGGACTAGTCCAGGAAACAGAAGGTTACTGTATAGATTACGAAGGACACGAATATTATGTAAACTTAATAATCATGTTGGGAAATCTCCAAACCCTTATCTATAAAGCACAAGATGTGTGTACGATGAGTCACAGCACACAGGAAAGAGTTAAAGTGATCAGTAGGCAAATATACCCGTCAGGCAAAGAAAAGGGTATAATTCAACCTTTATCAGTGGGGGTTTGTGCACCTGGTCCTCAGCTTGCCAAAGGATTGTTGTGAATGCTGCAGCTGAAAGTGTAATCGGAACAAAATCTCCCCAGAGAATGGTAATTGCTACAAAAACTGCTCAGTGCGACGTTGCTTAGGAAAAAAGGGCACCTGGGTATCATGTTCTTTTGAAGGACTTTAAAAGAAAATTAATAATGTTTTGTCAAGTACATTCACCTTATGCCTGCTTAGAACACATTTTTTGTCACTTCTTAGTTGCCGTCTCTCAAGGAGTAGAATTAGTCCATCAACTATGTGGGCCTGAAGCCAGGTCTATCAGTAGATTTGCTTTGATTCAGATGCCATTTTTTCTTTAGGCATGTCAGTCCAGATAACACAGATCAGCTGTGAAACTTCCAAGTTATTAAAATATTTTCATAACCCCACAAAGGAATGTTATCAATGGTATTAAGGAGAACAGGCCAGGCAACTCAGAAAATGTAAAGTAAACACTAATGTGCTTTTTGTTTCTGATGGCGGAATCAAAGCAAATGGCTCTGTAACAGGACATTAAGCATAGCTCCAATTACATCTTTGCCCAAGTGGTTTACAAATAGCACATCAGTTATTACTTTAGTATTAAAGTGTAGGTTACCCTAAAAATTATGATTCAATGTGTGTTGGGCTTTTCATGTATTTGTTAGTAAATGCAACTTATGTTTTAATTTCATATGTAGCTGCTAAATACTTGGTGACCCTGCCATGTATGTACCAAAATGCTTTCAGCTGTATATTTAACAGACCAAAAGAAACCAAATAAGAGAAGTTCATTTTCGAGTTTATACAGTTTAAAGGCTGCAACCAACTAATTGATCGATAATAATAGTTGTCAACTATTCTCATTATCGATTAGTTGGTTGCATCCCCCAACTCTCTCCTCCATGCTGGGAGGAGGGCACAGCAAGTAGTGGGTGGGTGCAACAGCTAGCCTGCAATTGCAGTTTGAAATGGCCAATAGCAGGCTGGCTATTGCACCAGACCACTACCTGCTGTATTTACATTCAGCTGTCTGTGTAAACTTGCCACTGGCAACTGTCATTTCCTGGCTGATGCCATTTTAACAATACAATTATTTCAAAAAAATTATAATAATAATAGATATTACAATAATAGGTGGGGGGGAAAAAAGTCATTTTCGGTTATGGCCTGACAAATTCTGCTGCGGGAGGTGCGTTGCAGTACCATTAATTTCAATGGCAACCCAAACGCGCCTCCCACCTACAGTGTGATCGCCAGCACTGGAATGCACGGTACCACAATGCCATACTTTCCAGTGCAGAGCAATTGCAAAAACTTGTGCATGCAGTTTTATTCTGAAGTAAACTATGTTTGTAACACTGCATTTGTGTATTTTATTTTAAAATTAAGGATGGCATTTAATTTTTTTTAGGGATGCACCAATACTGGTTTTTAGGTGTTCAGTACGAGTAGTGATATTTATCTTTGGGTATTTGCTGATAAAGAGTACAGATACCAGTACTTCCGCTAGCATGGAGCCAGCTTCCCGGGAAATCAAGAAGCCGTGCAGTGGGCACTACCCGAGTATCCGCCAAAATACTCGGTATCAGTATAGGTGCATTCCTAAAAAATAATCATTAGTTCCAGTCCTGTACAGTTAAATTTACAGAGGTGGGTGGGACTGGGGTTAAAAACAGTCCAGTGCCTAGGTGTGTGATAGGTATTTTGGGAGATTATTGTAATCAGACTGCAGGGAGAGAAAATTTCCCCCATTCCCACATCACACCCAAGGAATGTTGTAAATTTCTAACTGGAAGTTCCCGGTAAATTAGAGCTCATAGCTCCAGAGAAACAGAGATTGTAAGGGAATACCTCAATGTCTATAGCAGCTGTCAAATTTTAATGCAGCTTGGAGAAGCCTGCTATGATTTATAGAGTAAAACACAGACACCTTTTTTTATAAACTGTAATCTGAATATAGCTGTCTGCATGATGCCACCCCCAAATGATCAGTCATCCCTGTGGTTCGAGTACACATTGTTCCCAAGCTTTCTACCAGGGAATTAATTTGCTAATTCCTACATTTTTTCTGAACTGACTAAGATCAAAAGTACTCAAGAAATCGTACAAATGCCAGCTGAAATCTTTGATCTTGTTTCAAAGGTTCCTTTCCATGTATCCAAACAAATGCATAAGGAATCAGAGATAGAACAAATACTTCAAAACCTTGAGATATTAGGTGAAGGGAGATATGCAGATATGTAGCGTAGGCAAAGTAAATGAGCAACTTAAGCAAATCCAATTAATTTCTTATTTGCCAGTTTGTGACATCAAGCTTGTAAATTCCAACACTTCAGCACAGTTTATAAACCATGCCACATTACGGACATTTTATTGCTTGTCACATTCACTGTCTTGAGATATTCACAGATATTGGTTAATTGTCACAGAATGCCTTGGCACAATCCAGTTATGTCCAGGATGTCTATTCCTGGGATATTGGAGTACTGCTTGGTGCATCTCTCTACATAACATACATTAGGGATGCACCGATACCGGTTTTTCGATATTGAGTACTGATATTTTTTTTCTGTACTCACCGATACACAGTACCGATATCAGTGCCGCTTCCCCGATCATCAGGATGTCGGGCGGTGGATCATATCCCAATATCCTGATTGCCTGGGAAAACAGTGTTCTATCAAAAGAACACCGGCTACACCTGCCGAGGCTGCCTGACCAATCAGGAAGCCGGGCGGTGGGTCATGGGGTGCCATCGGGCTTCCTGATTGGTCAGGAAGCCAGGCTGCCTAGCAACAAGAGAAGCCAGCTTTCTTGCCAATACGGGAGGTGGGTCATGAAGTGCTGCCCAGCTTCCTGATTGGCTAGGAAGCTGGCTTCACTTGTTGCTAGGCAGCCTGGCTTTCTAACTAATCAGGAAGCGGGTCATAACCCACCGCCCAGCTTCCTGATTGAAAAGGAAGCCAGCTCCATTCTCCCTTTGGCACTGCCGGAAGTTCCGGAATCGGAAGTATAGGAGCATACTAGTGTCTGTATTGGTGCCGATAGAGTATTTGGGTGGGACTCACCCAAATACTCGGTATCGGCATTGATACTAGTATCGTTGCATCCCTAACATACATGCTTGTAAAACATGTATATTAACTATGAGCTAATCTATTACAATTGGAGTTTGACAACCAGACAACATGACAGCATCCAAAGTCTATAACCAGCAATTGATGTAAGCGTTGTTTTGCCTTTTATGCCAGAATAGCTCTACAAACTCTACTTTAAATAGTCAGGGTTACCAAATTAAAATTCAAGGATGTTCAGTGAGTAAAATTTTCGTTGAGCAAAGGTCCGAATCTTGGTCTGGGCAGAAGGGTCACTAAGTCTGTATCCACACTGCAGTCTGCCATTTAGGCTGCATTCACACCAGCAACTGCACTACAATGCAAAACTACTGCGCTGGAAGAAGCAACCAGAGCAGCCCTAACGCATCTGGTATGAAAGCAACAAATGTAAGGGAGAACTCCGATGGGGGCAATAATTTGCTTTCCCCATTACAGTGCCCCCTTACATTGGTTGTCACCTTTATATTGCCCCAGCATACCTACTTTAAAAGGAGAACTATGGGGTCAGTGTTTTTCACCATAGTTCTCCTTAGGGTAACGGGAGGACACAAACTAGCGTCCTCCCGTTACCCTAAGCTCAGTATACCGCGAGCTACAGCTCGCGGTATACTGAGACGCCGCACCTGGAGCGGATCCCGACTTAGATGACGGGATCCGCCCAGCTGCGTGAGTGACAGCTGGCTCTGCCTATCTAGAGGCAGAGCCAGCTGTACCCGCCCCCTCCCCCGTCCGTTCCGCCAGTCAGCGCTGGCAGATCGGAGCGGGGAGAGGGGAATCCAGCCCCTCCCCCTGTCACGGCAGAGAGCCGTGACAGGATCGAGAGGTGAGGGAACCCGGTATGTTTTCCCTCACCTCCCAATCTACTGAGCCGACCTGTGACAGTCTCATTGTCACAGGTCGGCTTAGAACTATGAGGTGAGTGGAAATCACTCATGTCATAGTTCTCCTTTAACTCGTAGGCCAGAGGGCGGGAGCTTGGAGACTGAGCAGGCTGCAGTAGAGGACGGAAAAACATGCTCTTCGCCCTCCTGTAATGCTGGGGCTGGGAATCGCATTAAAAGTCACTAGTTGCTAGGACTGCTGGCAGTCCGAGCAACCAATGATTGCAGAGGACATCAACACCTGACATCAAGGCTGCCAATACAAATCATGTGGCCCTGTACAGCCTACCTAAAGGTGGCCATACACCTTACAATTATGGTTCAATTTTCAATTGCCCTGTTATCGCACCCTTGTTCAATTTCTGCTCAAACAGCCCATCATGCACAATGTAGATTTCGATAAACGTTCATCAGCAATACTGACTGGCCGAATTTCGTGGATCGACAGAACAGATTTTCGTTTGTGCATGTGCAGTGTTCATGTTGCGATTTTTTTTCGGACGAAAAAAGTTTTCTAGTCTGCTCAATAGACTAAATTCGGCCAGTTGTACAGTAATTGTGATAGTTGACTTCCCATCACCTGGCCGATTATCGTACTAAAATCGATTTTGTTTGGAAATCAAACGGTAATTGCAAGGTGTACGAGCACCTTAACAGGCCCCTTCCCAACGCACATACACTTTCAAATCCTTCTATTTACCTCTCCCCACAGAGGTCCCCCCAGTGCCTGGGTGTATGCACCGTGAGTGGCGTCGGTCCACAGCGTTGTTAAACAGAATTTCACCTCTCTGGCCAGCTCTTTCCCTGCTTCCTCAACTTTAGCGGTGCTCTAGGACCTGGCTCCTCCCACACTGTCCTGGCTCCCTCACTGAGTTGCCTTAGAGCGGAGGGAGGATTTGCATATTAATGTGCCATGCCAGAATTTGCACATGAATTAACTACCGTGGCGGAGGCTGGAGTATGCATGGTCAGTCAGCCATAACGGAGCACAAGTCAGCAATCGCAGTCCGGACAGAACTGCTATTCAATCCTTGTCTGGATCACGGTCTGCCTTTTAGGGACGCCTGGTCTAAATAACCTTGCCTGAAATCAAGTCTTTATAGCTGTGAACCCAGCATGAATATCTCCCAGTCTGATTCTAAATGGATAATCTTGGCTTTTAAGCTGATCACTTGTGGGCGTGTGATAAAGCCATACTGTGTTGTATGCACGATAGTGGATTCTCTTTATTAACACAAGAACTTGCTTCAGACGTTTACACCAGAATCTCAGCTGAAAATCCTAGCCTATGACAGTTGCAGGGTGTGAGAAGGAAGATCTCCCTCCTCAGAGTCCTCTAAAGCTGACCATACATGAAAAAAAGATAGGTGCATCAATATGACGCATATATATGCAAGGATTTAGCAAATTAATAAAGTAATATGTGTACAATGAATAAGGTGTATCCTTTATGATCTTCAATGGTTTACAATCTACAAAATAACCTGTTTACCTGTTGTATTGGACTTTGTGCCTGAAATAATATTCTTCGTCCAAGCAGCTCTGCAAAGATGCATCCTACAGACCAGATGTCTATAGCATTAGTGTAATGACGGCTCCCCATTAGGATTTCAGGAGCCCGATAATACTGAGTGACAACTTCCTGAGTCATATGACGAGATTCGTCAAGTTCTTCCACCCTAGCCAATCCAAAGTCACAAATCTGAGAAAGCAAAACAAAAAAAGTTAGGATTGCACATACTTATGTTTCTCTAACCAAACATTTTTCTTTTTAAGTTATGGATATTGCTGGGAAAAGTAAGAACCCTAAATCAAGTTTTTACTGATGTCTTTGTTCCTACTGGGGTGATCCTCCCTCTTTATTGGTGCTGGTGACCATTGTTACTGCCATGAATACTGATAGGAAAGCTACAAGTTTGCGATTGGCAACACAATGGGGGGTAAAGGGGAAACTTTCCAACAAGAGCACATGGTCTGGTAATAACCTATCACAAGAGATTTCCCCTCACTTTACAGAGATTTCTTCTTTCTATTGTATGTCTTTAACAGGAAGTGAAAGGAAAGCTCCCTATTATGTAGGGCTGCAACAACTAATCGACATAATCGATTATTGAAAAAGTTGTCAACTTTTTCAATAATCGATTAATCGGCTTCCAATCAGTTGTCCCTGTTCAGAGCTCCACACGCTGTGCGTGGCAACCTCCTCCTCGCTCGCCACTGCCAGACCCGCTAGCATCCACGCTCCACACGCCGCACCTCCTCCCCGCCTCACATTTCCTGCCCATCCACATCCACGATCGGCACAGGGACGCGGGGAGATGTAGTAAGGAGGAGCAGGTGTGGGGGGATGACAATCGCCGATAGACAGGTCCGATCTCAGAAGCAAGTTGCTGGAAGACTGCACTTTCCCATACATGGTGCTCTATAATGTATTGCTGGGATTTGTATTTCTCTATAGCTGATGGTACATTGTGCTGTATATTCTACATGGGAATACAAATCCCAGCAATACATTATACAATGTATGTATAATGTATTGCTGGGATTTGTTGTACTCCTCTATAGCTGGTGATATTCTGCATTGCGCTGTATAGAGGACTACAAGTCCCAGCAATAATACATTATACAGTGCAATGCAGAATAACACCAGCTATAGAGGAGTACAACAAATCCCAGCAATAATACATTATAAAGTGGTACAATGCTAAATACCACTAGCTATAGAGGACTACAAAACCCAGCAATAGTACATTATACAGCGCAATGCAGAATGCCGCCAGCTATAATGTACTATTTTGTGGGATTTGTTGTATTCCTCTATAGCTGGTGGTATTCTGCATTGCGCTGTATAATGTACTATTGCTGGGTTTTGTAGTCCTCTATAGCCGGTGCTATTCTGCATTCATTGCTGTATAATTTTACACTTTCCATTTAACTATATTGCACACCACACTATCTTTTTTCTTTTTTACTTCCACCGCTCCAAGCTTGCTCCTGTGATGGACTACAATCTCAATACAAACTAGTAGTCCCATCACTGGAGCCATTTTTTAAACGTTATTTTATTGTTTATCCGATTAACCGATTTATCGAACTTAATAATCGGCTAACTAATCGATTTTGAAAATAATCGTTAGCTGCAGCTCTACTATTATGACAAATAAAAAAAAATGTGGTGTTAACAAGAAAAGTTTTGGCTAGAGATACACCTTTCAATACTGAGCTTTCCAAAACCAGAGATAATTTACTTAATCTTTATGCACAAAGTCCTAATTTTCTTACTTCAGACTGCCAAAATCTATAAAATAAGGGTGGAACACTCACCGTGCCTGAATCTTAAGGAAAAGCCAATTAAATTATGTAAAATTAGCTTTGTATCAACCAAAACACAAAGCAGTATCCACCTGTATAATCATAAAGTAGGAAAACTGTACCCCCAGTTCTTCTCTGCACAGTTCAGGCATAAAGATATAGTCTTATGCTTGGTGGGGGTGTTAGGGTGAGCTACAAGTGGCACTGCTATAATACAGACACTTCAAAGTGTGATGGTAGCGTTCCTTGTCCACCATAGTGTAGTAACTAGTTTATAACGTGTAGAAACTTGGATTCTACACTGTTACATTTATAAAAATGTCCTTAGTCAGCAGTTTCTCAAATATGTTGTGGCAGTGGCATATGATTTGAGTGAGCTATTACGGCTGACCACACATGGGGGAATATAAATACAATATAAAATGAATTATTCCAACATAAATACCAACTATTGTGCGCAGGGGGTAAAGGAACGCTTAAATGCATAGATACATCACAAAAATAAACAATTTGTCCATACAGCATACAATACTACAGGCTTGACAAATTTGCTTGGAATCCAGGAGCCAAAAGAGCTAAAAATAAGTTAGGAGCCAGGTTTAACAAAGCTTTTTTTTCAACAATAGTTGTAATTTTCAATTACAGTTTTAAATGTATTAAGGTCTTAAGGACCCTAAGAAGGGTTATAGACAAAAGCTGAGAGGCATAACCGTGAGTAAACCTATGTCATGCATCTGTAAAGATGCACATCAGGACATGAGGAGTGCTGTGCTTTTAAATAAAAAAAAAAAAACTATGGATCAGCCTGCATGTGCCACAGGGAAGCATGTAGGTTTCTGTTCAGAGTAGAAAATGGCAGAATAAAAAAAAAGCCATAAATTACTTATACCTGCCCTGCTGATCCAATGAGGCAGGCAAGAATAAGTAATTTATAGCTAATTTATAGCGAATATATATATCTAACTAATCGATTTTGAAAATAATCGTTAGCTGCAGCTCTAATCTCGATATATATATATATATATCTATATATAGCTATATATGCCCATCCACAAGCCCACTATCTGATAGCACATTGGAGATGACAGGTTCTCTATAAGGTGACATTCCACTTCAATAGCTTTAGCTGAGGCAGATGAATGTATATACAACAGGCAGTGACTGGGAGCAATAGCCAGCCTGCTATTGGCTATTTTAAACTGCAATAGCCAATAGCAGGCTGGTTATTGCACCCGGCCACCCCAATATCCATTTACATCTGGTTGCCCATAGAGCTACATTAGGTTTCCAATCAGACCTGCCTGAAAAACTGACAGGCGGACCTGATCAAACTGCCCATGTGAAAGGGGCCAGACACAATCAGGGAGGACTGTGCACTACAAAAGGCACTTGGAAGAAAAACTAGAGCCCTGAGCAGATAAGTTGTGTTCCCTGTATATACTTTTCACTGTTCACTAGCTTGTATTCGGAGGGGGAAAAAAAACCCCAATGATATGAATGAGTAGCCGCCTTCTTCCATTTAGATCTATGAAATTAACCACTAGAAATGTCAGCTACAACATACTGCATTATGCGTCTGCAAGATCACATGCAAAATTAAGGGGCTAAAATGATTTCCCGTCATGTGTCTGCTCATTTTTATGTGCAAGCAAACAAAGCCGAAACAGAATTTTCTTAACCACACTTCATAACCAAAAAAAAAAAAAGTCTAGCTACCCCTGCTATTAATAAACAAACGTTCCTCCTATGGTGACAGCAGCTTCCTGAGGTCTTCTGATTTTATCATTCAAGTCTCATACATAGTGAACTTAGTGAACTCATGCATTTCTGGTTTAACTCTCCAGGTTGTAGAACAGTTTCTTCTCACGCACAGCTTGCCTGTATTTTTTTGTTTTTGTTTTACAGAGCTTTTCTTGCGTCCCAGATTTTGTTAATATCCCCACTCCTGTTCCAAAGTGGTAATGAGCGATTCCAAAATGGCTGATTAATTGATCTTGTTACACTGCCATATTTTGCTAGCTATCTATTCACCATTTTCACTTATGCATCATTGCCACATTTACCTGAAAGCTTTTTACAGAAATGCGTTACAGGAAAGGTAACAAAAATGCACAAGGCAATAAAATCAGTGGCATGTTTTTTGGCAGCCAGTGTGTGCTTTACCTTAAAGCTGCCGGTTTCTGTATTGCTATTAAAAGAAGCAGTGGTAGGTGCACAAGCCTCCAAATCGCTTTTAACAAAAGGATGCCAGTGGGGGGGGGGAGAACTATGAGGTGAGTGCTTTTCACTCACCTCATAGTTCTAGCCGACCTGTGACAATGAGACTGTCACAGGTCGGCTCAGTAGATCGGGAGGTGAGCGAACATATACCGGCGTTCGCGCACGTCTCGTGACAGGGGAGGGGCTGGATTCACCCCTCTGATCCACCAGCGCTGACTGGCGGATCGGACGGGGGGGGGGGCGGGTACAGATGGCTCTGCCTCTAGATAGGCAGAGCCAGCTGTCACTCACGCAGCTGGGCGGATCTCGACATCGATGCCGGGATCCGCTCCGGCTGCGGCGTCTCAGTATACCGCGAGCTGTAGCTCGTGGTATACTGAGCTTAGGGTAACGGGAGGACGCTAGTTTGTGTCCTCCCGTTACCCTGAGAACTATGGGGAAAAGCCCTGACCCCGTAGTTCTCCTTCAAAGACCTGAAATCTACTAATCACATTGCAGGCAGTATGGAAACTTTTGTAGCACACTCTGCCATTTATAATGAAATTAGAATGTTGTGTGTTCCTGAGTGCTGAACAACAGCAACTTAGGCTGGCCTTACATGCTTTAAATTTCTCTTTCAACCTTGCGGGCTGAGAAAAGTTCATCGATTCCCCCATCCATGCTAAACAGCATGGATAGAGGAATCCCTGCTACTGCTTTTTGTAGTCAGCAGCTGCTGAATGCCTGAACAGATGTTTTCGGACCAGCTCCTTCAACAAAAGCCCACTGAAAAACGGGAGGACTTAAATTTGTCTGATTCAGGAACCGGTCAAAAATAAAACAGTGTATGGCCAGCTTTAGTCTTCTTCAGATGGGCTATATAGGATCCACTCGACGGACAATCTTATCCATTTTGGGTAGATTGAATAACTATACTTGATTATGCCCCAGTGGGCAGACCCTCAACCCCCCACCCCACCATTCCTTCGCTTAACAACATGGTTAATGGAAGCTCCGGAGTGAGATCTCAGCTGCTTGACTTCGGCTTCAACTTTCTTTATATTGTCAAACAGAGCATAAATCAGAGCACTGTTTGCCAATGCGGTCCTGAAGTTCCCCTTACAGCACATATTTGTAGATATGTGTAGCATATAGATTCTCAGCAATATGGAAAATAAAATGGAAAACTAGAAATTACATTACCATTTAAACCATATAAGAAATCTCAATGATTGGGTTTAAATATACGTGAAACCTATCGCTACCCCTAAAACTAAACCCTAACTAAGCCCTAATCTATAGGTAACTAACTACAAATACTAAACTATCACCAACAGTTTTGAGTTGTACATACCCTCCGAGACCAGACCTCCTGCAGCAATTTATACCAGCCACACATCACTGTGTCAATGGATAAAAGACTCTTATGCCGTCAGCTACCTACAGCTGCTTTTGCTTTGTTGTTTGATTTAACCACAAGAGTCATTAGCACATATTCAGCCATTGTATATATGATAACGTAAGTAATGGACAAACTGGGGTGAAGCACAGACCCCTCATAAGACTTGCGCAGAGTATGGCTAAACAGAGGATTACAACACAGACATTGTGGGGGGAAAAAAAAAAATCTACTCCACAGGGCTGCCGATACTGGGCCTCATGCCTAGATTTGTTACCCTGCAAATCATTGTCATGTTTCTAAATGACAATCTGCTACAAAGTTGAAAAAAGAAAAAGAAAAGTATTGTGGCTTGCTAGAGAATTTCACAGCTTACATTGTGTATGTAAATAGCATTCAGCAGAGCCAGTGAAACTTTTCACTGCGCAGGTGTTTACAGAGAAAATGTAGACAATCAGTATAGCAAACTACACAATGAAACATGTATGTGTTAACAGAAACGGACCAGGGAGGGAGGCCATTTATGATAGCTAGAGGAAACGAAAAGCAGGTGTTGCCCATAGCAAGCAATGACATTCCAAACATACTGCAGCAGGTTAGAAAGCAATACTAAATGGATGGCAGCAGACCATCTTTGTCAACAAGCCCAAACCTTTATAAATCAGCCCCTACATCTATACAGTTGGGGGGGGGGGGGGGGGTTTTGCGGTTTTGTGAGT